AAGGATTCCACCTCGATCGAGCAAGGTCACTTGAGGTGCAAAGTTTCCTAAAACCAGGACGTCCTGTTTTTTTCAAACCTGTTGATTTGCTGCACTTCTATTTACTGTGAGGTGGCCAACGAACCAGCCAGAAGGGGAGGGGGTAGCCCGCGCTTCTGCCTTCGATGTTGATGCTGTTGTTGACGCAGAGTAGAGATTCCCACCAGGGTAAACACCATCGTCAGACGGATGTGATTCACCGGTCCCTGTTTTCGCTGCCTGTCAAGTCCTCCTCTTTCACCTCCATCTCAAACTCTCAAACCTCCAGCTTCTACATTAAATTTCCTCTTCTCGAGTCATCGTTTTCTTCACAGGTCGTATTGATTGTGTACGGGGAAAAATCGATATCAATAAGCCAGCTGCTCGTGGTGTCTTAGTCGGACCAATAGCAGAAACGCAGTTGCTTAAGCACTTTAAGTGCACATTGTTGTACTTTTGTATCCTATGCTTTCACCTTTTCACGAGGAGGGAAAAAGTTTGTACGCAATTAAAGTTGCAAAATCTGTGTGAAAGCGTGGATGAGGCAGTGAATGGAGATTGGGTAGCACCGTCAGAGGTCCCTTTTTGAATCTTCCATGATGCTCTAATAACTTTAATTTTTTGACAATTTGTGGCATATTTCGGTTAGAAAGCTTATGGGAACCACTTCGATTAAAAGTGAGGATGAATTTTATCTAATAGATTTTCTAGGAAATGTAGTGACCAGTAGCATTCTTGATATATAGCACGTGACTGTGAAATATCAATCAAATCCACGTGATTTCATTTAATCATTTGTCAAATTATTTGAGGTGTCGCCTTTTTGAAATCATCGAGGGTCACTGGTGACGTGCTATAAAGTTGCGCATAATCCACTCTAGAGCTTGCACCATAGCAGAACACTAGCTGAAGTAGAGGTACGGCCAAAATTGAGAAGGGCAGACAGCTTGAAAGAAAGCCTTCTATTCTAATGTGACGATAGGAAGAGGAGCTGCCACAGGATCAGATAAAACATACTACAACGGAAATTCAGCGGTTCCAATAACCGCATTGTTTTAGCCCACAACCGGCATTCAAGTCTACGTAGTCTGCAGTGTCTCACTAGTTAGGATGCGAAGCTCTCCACCCTCGAGGTGGCCTAATAGCCCCTGTAATTACTATTCCCTCCCATGACCACATTCACATGATTGTATATTTACTATTGCGATTTAGCAAGTAGTAAGCTGTACTTAATGAGGTGTATTTCATATGAGGATCAAAAGACAACTTTCGCAGCTCCTCTTTGGCCAGCTTGCAGCCATTCTAACGGTATTCTTCGTGAAGAAAGTATCAGTGTAATAACTGCCAGTGCTAATAAAGCAAGAAGTTGTTTCAATTGCTAAAAAGATGGACAGTTGGATGGATGGGTGGATGGATAGAGGGATGCGAAATGGGTGGGCGGATATTTGCCCCATCGACAGAATGCATGTGGACATGCAAGCTCTTGTGTAAGCACAAGTGGCGCAGTCTACAAGCGACGGAGATGGTGGAACGTAAATTTCCTGAAATATTCCGCATTTCACGAAACCTTTAAGAATTTTTCCCATTTATAATCCCCTACCAAAAGAGGTAGGGTTGAAGCGAAACACCCTGCTCCCCACTTCGTCAGACGTTTCTGCGTAGTTTGACAGCCACGCTTTATCCACTTTCTTCTATCTTTCCTTTCTTCCCTACCCACCTTCCCTAGTGAGAGGCCGCTTTAAGATTTAGCGGGATTTTATAGTGCTCCTCTCATTGTCAGTCCTGCAAAAGCTGGATTAACCTATAATGCCAATATATGAATTTAAGAGGTGAATCTCCTGACCTTCGAATGTCTGAACATCGTAGGCTCCAGCATCCGGATAGTAAGGCCTTCAATGAATATGCTGACGCTTTCTTCCACAAAGTGAAACGTATCTTCAAGGCATTGGTTAACCTAATCTGTGTCCACATTGTGGCTTCTTTGGACACAGTACCTCCCATAATCTCGTAGATGAGGCTTAACGACATTGATAAACCAACTTCAACTTCTCTAGATGATTTTTAAGGGAGATTGCGCTTAAACAAACCGTTTAATAGTTTCATAGGAGGAATCATTGCTACTGCAGATAGTCCCAAATCTCCAGCCAAGAAGGTGGGATTCTGGAAGCATCGGATGATTTAAAAGAGGATGCCACTCGGGAACACGCTTCATTCCAAGAGTCGAAATGGAAGATTTCAGGTTCGGGTAAAGAGCATCAAGAGACAGGTAGTAATCTGCAATTCGTCAGAACAGCCCTCAACACTTAATCATCATCCCGCCAAAGGAGGCAAGAATCGGTAACTAGGTACACGCACTCCTCTATGGAAATTGTGGCATTTTGTGTGTTGGGCAAAGGGGATGATTTTTAGTCATCCTCATCACGGTCTTGGCGGCTGTTTCTCGCCTTTCCTCGCCTTTCTTCGCCTTGCCTCGCCTCGCCCCCCGTCTCTTCTCCGCTCCATCACCGCAATGGACACATGGAGGGCTATTGAATCCGCAGGGGGAAATGGTCCTGACCTAGAAAACGGTTATATCACTGTTAGGGGGCTTCATTTCCATCCACTAAGGTCTAGATTAACCACCCTCTGATATCTAAAGCATTCAGCAAGATTTTGGGTCCTAATTAACCCGAATCTGCCAGTTCTACCTCAAATGGACTGGAATCAGAGGCGCTTCAGACGAGCCTTTTACGTCAGGGTTTATCCAGGAAAAGGGACTAGACGACGTGAAGCCTAAAGTAACTGAGGTAGAAAGGTGTCAGGTTTTGGGCGTGGATAGTTCCTCTCTCTCGTTGACAGTCGCTAAGCTTTAAGCTGAGAACAAAAACACACAGTTTTAGCAGATCCAGTAAGCGATCCCCCTATTCATAGTCTAGTTAAAAAAATGACAAAATTAGCCTTTTCTCTGGCATTCCACTTGCATTCAGTATCTACTTTCGAACTGATTCCAGCAGCTCATTCCAACCAATGGGCTTCAAGCGTCTACCGAATAGGTCTATTTAATGCGAAATAACTCCACATTTCTTATAACCGTCATAATTAGAAAGGCCTTTGGTTTCCAGAATTCAGAACCTTCATTGGCAACCGTCATTGAGATAAGATGGACAGTTCGGTTTTATTAAGGGGGAAAGAACAGCCGCAGTTTCATCGTCTAGCTAGCCTTTTTGAAGTGCCATGATCGTGGTGCCAACCCAATGTTACTTGGCCTGATTATTCTCATGAGAAACCGTGAGAACTTGGTGGGTGGACGGCTGGGTAGGTGCATAATCAGAACTTTGTGATTTACTTGCTATCCATCAAAAGTTGATATACCGCGTCCTCATTCGTAATTGTGAGGCATACAACAGGAAGTCAAGGTAGGTTCCTCCTTGTGGAACCTTCTCTGATGCTAAAATAGGGTAGCTTTTTAGGATAGAATTTCATTGAGGTGAAGAGAAAAGCGCTTCGACTGTAATCGCGCCAGCTTGAGAGCACTTTTAGTCTCACAAGAACTACAAACATCTCTGCGTAGAGTCTCCTACGAGAGCCTTTAACCAGAGGAGAGAGAGAGACAGATAAAGTCCGGAGGCTCGTGGTGTAGCCAGAACTGCCGCAGTCACTCACTGTGGCGGAGATTCTACTTTTTTAATCATGCTTGGTTATGATTTACAATGAGAGAGACAGCCAGACGGGCAGACAGTGAAGGTGAAAAAAATGTGTAGGAGGTGGAGAGGAAGGGCACGAAAATTGAAACCCGTCGTCGAATAGCTTGTTTATGCAAACAAATAAAAATACACTCTCGCACCCACACATGCACACATACACCGCAGCGAAGATGGAGGATTGCACGAGTAATCACGACCGGCTAAGTCTGCACGCTCCACATCCTGGTACATCATACCACATCACACCTCACGCCACCATCGCACTACACCGAGGTGGACGCTAAGCTCTCGTCTCTAATTAGATGCGCTTTTGATGCCTTGTGGAACGCGGCTGTGCGATTGGATGGATGGATATGGGGATGGGTAAATAGAGTTCGAAAGAATTGCCCCTGGATAGATGTGGAATAGACTGAATTTGAGTGATCGTATCGATGGACAGATGAGTGGATCGAAGGCGGCTGGATTTAGAAGTGGACGAAACTAGAACACCAGGACAGACTGGAAAAGCCACTTCAGTTCAGAGCCTCATGTCCAGGAAAGAGTATTCGGTTAGCTTAGTTCTAGATTGCCAAACCCCCTCTATTTGGTCCACATATTAGCGAAGATTTTTGGAAGCAACTTCGATAGCAAACACTGAATCTAAAGTTCCATCGTATTGGTTGGCCGATTTCCCAAGCAAAATACTATGACCTTTTGCTCTAAAACCATTTCCGACCTAGAGTCTGCAGATTGCGGTATCAAAGGCTCCTTTACTTGAGGGTATTTGTGTAGCCGATATAAGCACCTCGAAACCGCACGCTGAGGCAGAAGAAACGCTTTGCGACATTTCCCGCCCATCTCTACACCAATACACACAACTCGCAGCTAGAAGGTACACGCCTCCAAACACGGACAGACAAAGCCAGTCAGCTATTACCATGCCCCCACTCTACAATCGCCTTCCACCACCAGTCAGGAGAGAAAATGTGGCTGATAACACAATAGCAAACATTTATTGGTTTCATAATGCAAAAAGAAAGTAAGTAAAAACAGTCTGGGTATGCTAAAGTCAGTCAGAGCGTGAAAGTGGACCTACACAATCGACGTACCAAGGGGATGTTCACTCGATGTCGGCTCATTACTTTTTACACTTTCAACAGAGATCATTAACACTTTATTTTATTACTTTCGCTTTTTGAAGACAATCGCCTCCGGACTGAGGTAGTACTAGGGAGGAGAGCGGAGGAAGCAGGAGGCGGAGGGATGAAGAGAGGACATGGGATGTAAATACTAATAATAGCTCCATTACATTTACAAAAACTAAAATTTACGCGGTTTAGAGCTACGAGATTGTGCGTGAGCATCCTTGTCCTCCCCGCCATCACTGGCACTGCTGCCATTACTGCTGCCGCTTGAGGTCGTCGGTATAGCTTGGCACTTGCTACAACTATCTCTCTTCCTGATGCTTTCATAGGCCCAAAGAGTCGGCGTCCAGGCCGTCTTGAGATTGCGTTTAAGGCACGAATAAGTGGAAAGCACATCCGGTTCTGGAACATCGTCATCATCACTTTTATCAGCAGCAGCAGCACCAGTATTGGGGACCGTCAGGGAGCTGTCCATCGGCGCTCCTCGTCTCAGCAAGGGGTATGCGGAAGCCGGTGATACAAATTGTTGACTGGCTTGCGCGAGAGTGGCCAGGTTTTGAAATGCTGGAGCCTGATCATCCTCCCCCTCCATTGAGTTTGAACGGGTGAAATACCCTGAGCTGTTGTGGGACTCGTTGGAGTTGGGTCGTGATGACTCCTCCTGAAATTCGAAGTCGTGCAAGATGTCCCAGCTAAACTGTTGCTGCTGCTGTTGACGAAAAAACGGATGTCCATCCGGTTGTGGATGTCGTGCGTCATAGCGATGGAGACGACCGGGAGCGGTGGGGTTGATATAGATTGAGTTTCTACGAAATACAGAATTAATGCTGCTATCCACATTATTAGCGGGTGGAGAAGGTCCCCGTCTTCTAAGATAGCCACTGTGGACGTGGCCGTTATAGGTTGAGCTAACGGATTCCGGGGATTGAATTGGCAGGAGATCGGGTGAAACTTCACAGTTTTCCTGAGTTTGGATTGTAATCCGTTCTCCTTCTCCTGCATCATTCCCCACCTTCTCTGGTCCGGACTTTTGTTCCGGGATCTCCTCCTCTTCCATCCTCTTCTTCAACTCCGACTGACTCAACGGGATGTTGCCCTGTGCAATGCACAAGTTCGCAAGATCGCAAAGTCCCGAACGAACAGTAATGGAAGAAGCCAGAGGCGATGGCATATACTTGGCCGACTCATCCAGGGCGTACTGAGAGGGTTCGCACTCGAGCCTAGAAATTGTGTTTCGGAAAAGCCGCATCCATGGATGGAGAAGGATTTCCATTAGCGTGGGACGCTCACGTGGATCCAGACGGCAACAACAACTACAAGAAGGTATGGACAAGGGTAAACGAGCCCGCTCAGGAGGACAGTGGAAAGAGAATTTGGACTGAGAGGAGGCCTACTGTATAAGGTCCATAGCCTCGTGGCTGACGAGGGTTCGACGGAATTGTACTGCACCAGAGAGGATTTCATGGTCACTCATGAAGGGAATATCCCCGTTAATCATGTCAAAAAGAAGAATTCCCACCGTCCAAATTTCAGCAGATTTTCCGCGATATCCATTAGTTTTTATCCACTCCGGCGGAGAATAAACTCGTGTACCTGTTGTAGAAACGAAGCGTTGAAATAGCTTAAATTACGCAAAACAGGAAGCCAGACAGACAGGCTAAGTAATTACCATCGAAATCATTGTAGATCCCATCGTGCAAGAAGGCGCCCGATCCGAAGTCAATGAGTTGGATTTCATGATTATCCGAGTCGATGAGAAGGTTTTCATCCTTCAGGTCGCGGTGTAGAACTCCAGCTTCGTGGCATTTCAGCAGTATGCCAATAAGTTGATACATTATGAAGGCGGACTCGCATTCGCTTAAATAGCCTCGCTTGCAAATGTAGTCGAATAGGTCTTGAACAGCGGGTGTATTGCCGGCCATCACAATGTGCCACGTTCCGTGGAGGTCGTAGACCTCTAACATTCTGGAAATCCCATCGATATGTGAAAGCTTTTTCAACAGAACCACCTCCATTGGAAGCATATCGTCATCCAACTAAGGGAGGGGCAAAAAAGGGGCTCAGTTTCTACTCTTGTGGTAGCCAACAAAGCACAAGAGTAGAATGTATGTGACTTACTCGACACCAGCATGGCACACGATCAGAATCCACCTGCTTTATAACAACCTTTGCACCGTTTCCATTATGTCTGGCTTGAAAAACCTTCCCAAAACCACCCTTTCCCACCTGGGTGCACAGGGAGTAGGTTTGATCAAAGACATCTGGATCCCTTATCACATTGAGCTCTACGATTGATAAAATAACACACAAGATACACATGAACGGGGAAGTGAAAACGTAAAAAATGTATAAGCACAAAAAAAGCATTACTTACTGATATCCAATTCTGCCGATGTCCTTTCTACATAGCGCATATGCGGATTCAATTTGCGAGGCTCGGGGAACCACTTGTTCACGTCTCTTGAATGGTCGACTGCCATGTCGGAAACAGCCTCAACGACGTCAAACAAAAAAAAGGCGAGGGAAAAGACAGCTGTGATTAACGAGTACCTCCTCTCTCTACCGTAGGACGCGTATGTGTGGTGGAGTGTGTAAAGCACTGCTGGCACACTGTGCCTCCAACCAACCAATTGTAGGAAAGCCTTGTAAATGCGAATTTCTACTCGTCGGTTATATACCATTCACCTTTTATGCTGAGCCAATAGCTAGTTGGGTCAAACGCCATTGGTGGGTGCCACACATACCTCCGCACCATCACGCGAATTGCGCTTCTAGAGCGGCTGTCCACTAAGCGAATTCCTTTTTTTTCTGAGTTTTTCTTTTTTATTTGAAACACTCGATTCTGAGAAGTAATAATAACGCTGATATAAATGGCAATTTTCTTCCCACTACAACCAACATTTTTTGTGTTTGCACGCACACTCATCAATCTGCGTAGTTGGAGCGGTGGTTGGGTAACGTATCGGCTAGACTGGATCACTTTTGTACACCATACGAGCGCACACCTCCACAGGCTAAGAGAGCCAAAAGGGGCAGGAGTGCTGCACACATTTGTGCACTTTTGGAGTTCATGGATTGTAGACACGCCTCGACGCGACAAGAGACGTTACGTCTGTGCTTAGTACAGCCCTGAAAGTTACGGCGTGAATTAGTGCTTGCTTTTATCCATCTGATGTGGTGGTAATGGGGTACATATTTTGCCGTCATATTTTGCTCCTTGTAGAGGTTTTGTGCTCCCAGATTTCACTCTTGAAACGATTAATGCGGTGTCCCCTCTCCACCCCTCCCCCTGTTATTTGCAGCTTTTTTTTGCTACCTGACATTTCCTAGCCTTGTGGATTTGTCCTGTTCCGAATCCTACGCGCCTGAAGTAAAACATGCGCGAATAGTTTATGGTGGTTGAAGTTCCGCAGGGGTCCGTGTCAGATGGATACCAAACGCCCTTCCTTTAGGAGGATAACTTGCATTCCTAAGGTGAGAAAGTATTACCTATGTAGAACGGTCCTTTTGCATAATCGCTTCTTATTTTCTTTCTGGCTTATACTAACAGGGGTGTGCACGGGCGACACAAGGATAGCGTAGACTCTGAGCTACTAGACACCACCCCTTACTGTATAGAGTTGGTGATTTCTTCTAGTGATTGTCCTCCTGGTCTTGGCAACTTTCCTCCGCCTTCGTGATTGATCACACCAGAGTAACTCCAAGTTTTCCACTATCTCGGCTAATCGGTAAGGGCGTGTGCGTGTGTGTGCTTGTGCAAGTGTTTTTTCCAGAATTTAGGCGATATACGGAGCCTCCACTCTGTTCTCCTTTTTGGTTAGATTTCACTATTACCCTGCGTTCAACTCATCCAAGCCTAGTAACGATTCCACGGCGCCTTGATTATCTCCAAATTTCATGTCAAAATGAAATTTTGTAACGAATCTCAGTTGTAGTCCCGATTTCTTTGCAATATGAGAAACGGGTTAGTTTCTACCGTGCTTTTTTCCTCTTTTCACCATTATTTGGACCAAGAAGCATTGCCAATGGTCGATTTATGTGGACCCTCGGATGGATGGGACATTAACAGCCGACTGCCACCACGGCGCCAGCAAATGTTCAGCCAGATTGTAGAGATTTTGGACATTACATTGAGGAAGATCGTAAAAATCAGTCAAATCTAATGCCAAGACGAATTTTTAGTTAATCTTGTACTGTGGTACTAAAGTGTTTTGTGTAAGAGTTGACAAGAGGGCTCCCTACCTAAAAGGCCATTAGTGATTTCATCGGCGCCGAATGACAGGACTACATGGTGATACCTTCAAGAGAGTGCCATTCAGAGTGTCGGCTAAAACCCCTTCAATCTACATGCTCATCCTACAAATCTCCTTATTGAGTCAACTTCCAAGTAAACGTTTCTATTAGCAACCCTCACCTTTTCTCCTCCAAAGTCCACAGAAGGGATGGTTTTAGGTAGGAAACTTTGTAATGAACACACTGAAAGCAGCATGGAGGGAATAATTCGTGGTGCTATTGTCAGTCCACTCCATCCTCAGAAATAGACAAGTATTTTTTTCCACTTTGGAATTTTTGGACAATTCATGGGTTGTCTACGTAGGGGGCTGTGACTCCCCTTCATCCCTCACTCCAAATAAGCGTAGCAATCCTAGTGCATTTTATCTGGGTGGTATGGCTTGATGATAGCTAGAGGGCAATAAGGCCATTAGTTACGTGGAGATTTAAATCAGGAAATGAGTCAAGGAGATATCGCCATGTTGCATCTATTATAAGTCTAGCTGGGATGTGCTTTTTCCTGCTCCTAACTCAAGCTTAGGCCCAATTCACCTCCAGGGGAAGTGGAAGACTGTGTACTTTGATGGGGAAAAAAGTAACATTTGCTTGAACCCTTACCCTACTGCAAAATGGTGGCTTTTTTTCCTAATCATTGCATTATGCGGGTGAGGGCAGACTATGCCTCTTCATGTTGGTTAGTTTTGGAAAAGAGTAAAATAAGTCCACAGGCACGAAACCTGCAGCAAGTTATATGATAATTGGGTTAACAAGATTAACTGAACAGTGAGGGCATGATGAGGTCAGGCTCAACGCTTACATACAGGTGCTTCTGCAGTTTCTGCAGTCATTCCCGACTAAACACTACTGATAACCTCGTAATCAGTAGTATGAGGACGGAACTTATCGTCGATTGATTCATGAGGTTGGAATGGTATGTAGCCCAAAACCATTGTCCCAGGCAAAGCGATTTGTAAACAAAAACCCCAAAATGAAATAAAAGCCAGTCAGCAAAACTACTGCTTTCCAGACCATTTGATTATAGGCTACTAAATCTAACAGATTTTTATGAATCTATTTAAAAAGCAGTTTTCAAAGCCGGTTCTTTTTTCAAGTCGTAGAGAAAGCCAGCTCAACGTATTTTTGCTCCGCCTACGGAGCTAAGTATATTTGTATATGGAAAAGGGTTAATCGGTGGGTGTTTGGACCGGTCCAATCAATCTACCTCCTTAGAAAGTGTAAAATTCTTATTTTTACCCAATGATCCGAGAATTTGAAGGGGAGCGTAGGGTTTACAATCAATTAAGACTCCAAATTTTAAAGCCCTAAAAGATTTGCAAGCGACTAGTTGGGATAGCATTTCCTCAGTTTTTTTGCACCTTCTAGTGAAAATTTCTTTCATGCCTTTTTGGCTCTGAGCCACAAAAGCATTTATCACTCGCACACTCACTCTTGGCCCCACGCAGAGGCATAAATAAAGTGGCTGAGCTACCAGCTATTGTGATTCACTCCTCGTTGCAGACGGAGGCATTAGTTGCACTGTTTCCTCATGTAACGCCGTTTTGACTCAAATGACCCACTTTTGTGGGTGGTTTAATATGTAATGCACGGAAGCAGCTTGAAGGGACAGAATCTGTTCCAGGTAGACGTGCGAGCAGGCTGGTTGATGGGATAGCGACGTCGTTTAAATGTAGGCCTACACGAAATCAAACGCTTGCCACCACGTGAATCTCCCACTTTAGCGAAAAGTTCCCCAATGATGCAGATATTCTCTAAGGTGTGGATTTGGTTAAATGCGTCATTGTTGGTGTAAAATTTGCTAAAAATATTAGTGTTTTCAATGAAATTCGTATAGTACGTATAACATACTACTAACAATGATATCGGCGACCGGGGCTGACTTTTGGTTCAATCAGTGTGATGCAATGAGTTCTTTTTCGCTTGACTTGCTTCCAAAGGGTGAGGGGGTGTAAGGAGTGTGTTCATATTCTCCATCGCTTAAATTATACATGACTCAGAGTCTTATTGCGTAAAGTGTCAGGTTTATTTTACCATTTCCATAGCAAAAACAAACGGGGAGGAACAAAAAACTAGTCAATATGAGGGTGCGATATTATTTTTTCCAGAAAGAGGTTGATTTGGCTTTCAGGTTTGTTTATGGCAGCGAAAGTTGGAGCATAGACTGTTTTTTTTTAGTCAATACAGTGAGAACGACAATGTAGATGGTCGTAGGATTTACACCTGTCAACAATTTTATTGTACCACATGCAATCTAGGTATTTTTTGTCTTTCTTGTGGCAAGTGAACATCCAACGCAGTCGACAAACAGGTTTTAGCACTAGAGAATGGCGAACTCAAAGTAGATCTTGTATATTTCTCCGCAATTACCACTTTAGTAGCAGCGCAAAAGCGAAGTTGATTCAGCAAAAGAATTTGAAATTTTTAGCTTTTTATTGGTCAGAAATACAAAGAAGTTGTTTGCTTCACCTTCAGATTTTTGTAAAATGAAACTAAGTCAGATTTTCTCCTGTCTATTTTCCTACTTGTCTTGATTGGACACTAATATAACCCAGTGAAAACGGTATTTTAGTTTACTTGAATTGTTCCCTCATCCTTGCAAATTCGTTGTTTCAAAACGATCCACACTACTTCCTCTTCCAATCAAGAGGAAAATGGCTTAAATGGTGCATTGAGAATAAACTACCGAGTTCGTTTTTTATCCCTCGTGACCTCTACCGTGGGCCGCCTAGTTCTCAGCTCACTCTGCCTCAGGGAGATGACTCTTTGACAGGGCGCAGGATACCGTTGAAGACGGATTCGTGCCCGTGGTGCACACATCCACTTGCACTAGTCTGGGAATGACAGAACGCTGTCTTCTCCTCTCTGGCGCAACTTGCGCATGAGTTGCGCAGCCTCCTCCGATTCGGAGTGACAGCTCTTATTGCCAAGCTGTAAGGATAGTGAATTAGCCTGTGAGAAACAGGCATAGATCAAGCTCAGACATGATCGCTCTCCACATCTTCCGTTCTGACTGTGAAACTGACTGCACGCTGGCCCATCAGATTGGCATGATGCATTCACTGCTATGGAACCCCAAATCAACCAAATGAGAGTTTAAAAAGTCATTTTATGAAGAGTTTTACTCAGGAAAATAATCTGATCTTTTTGAAAAGATTTGAAATAGCTTGTTTTGAGCGCAAAATATATCGTT